CCAAATATCAAAAAAAAAAAAAAAAAGGCTGCAAATCCAATTTTTAGTATTTGTATTTTTATATTTAATGTCATTTATATGCTTTTAAGACTAAATCTCATCCTCCTATGAACCAAAAATCACAAAAATTTAAATTCAGGCTCATAGAAATGTTGACAGTTCAAAGGCAAAATCACTAACACTCATTTTCTTTCTCTTTTTCCCTGATTTTAAAAAGAGTATTTATTATGAAGGATGTTACTGATATCTAATACTCATTTTCTTAAAAGATTTCTTTAATAGATGGCAACAATTAGAAACTTGTCCATGAAGGTAGAACACAGGGGCGATGGTAAGACCAACTTCCCTCCTTCTCTTGTCCCTTCCTCCCACACTCCTTGAGAGCTCCCCCAAACGTACGTACTTCCTTAGAGATAAGGGAATAAGAGTCTGCCAGCTGAGCGTGAAACTCAAGTCACATAGCAAGGGGAAGGGACAGAATCTGTCAGCTCCCTTGCCTGAGCAATTTGATCAACCCTTCTAAAAAGAAAAGTTTCAAAAAAAAAAAAAAAGAAACGTTTCAGGAGAATGTGTTGTTTAGCACAGAAAACTTAGTTTTAGGGAAACAGTTCTGTCAGTGTGTCAGATTCTGGAAAATTAGGAGCATTCTGGCCCCTATATAGGTCACTTTATGGCTTGAGCAAGACTAGATACTTATTTTAATTTTAATTTAACTATTATTATTATTTTAGAGGCAGGGTCTCACTTTGTTACCCAGGCTAGAGAAGAGTGGTGTGATCATAGCTCATTGCAGCCTTGAATTCCTGGGCTCAAACAATCCTCCCACCTCTCATGAAGAGCAAAGACTACAGATGCATGCTGCCATGCTGGCTAATTTTTAAAATTTGTATTCATTTATTTATTATAAAGATGAGGGTTTCACAATGTTGTCCAGGCCGGTCTCAAGCTTCTGGTCTCAAGTGATCCTCTCACCTCGGTCTCCTAAAATGCTGAGGTGTCCTTCAATTTTATGCTCACCAAGCCTGTCCTTCAATTTTATGCTCATCAGGTTTCTCTAGTACTCAAAATTGGGAAAGTGGATACCCTGGATGAGGGATGTAATCACTGATAAGGCATATATATCTCTGCCATTAATTAGTACACTCATGCTGCCTATAATAATCCAGTTTGGCTGGGTGTGGTGGCTCATGCCTGAAATTCCTGTATTTTGAAAGGCTAACGCAGGAAGACTGCTTGAGGCCAGGAGTTCAAGACTAGCCCGGGCAACATAGCTGAGACCCTGTCTCTACCAAAAAAAAAAAGATATTTTGATTCATATTATTTTAAAATTTCTAATTTGACATCATAGAGTGGTCATCTCTGATTATATCAAAACGTTTAAATTATACTAAAAGTTTTTGGACTTTTAAGGCTGATGGTCAGACTCTGGATTATGGAAATTCACCACTGAATGGTACTACTCCTGGTCCAACCATCAGTAGGGCTTCCCCTAATAGAATATTTGTCACTGCTGGGCGTGGTGACTGTAGCCTGTAATCCCAGCACTTTGGGAGGCCGAGGTGAGGGAACTGTCTGAGCCCACAGATTTGAGAACAGCCTGAGCAACTTGGTGAGATCTCATCTCTACAATACATCAAAAAGTTAGCTGGGTGTGGTAGTGTGCGCCTGTAATTACGACTACATGGAAGGCTGAGACGGAGGGATCACCTGAACCCAGCAGGTTGATGCTGGGGTAGCCGTGAGCATGACACTACACTCCAGCCTAGGCGATGGAGCGAGACTCCAACTCAAAAAAAAAAAAAAAGAATACTTGTAATCATGCAGTACTGTATAACACTATTTAAAATTTCACACAACTATGTGAATATACTTAATGCCACTAAACTGTACACTTAAACAATTAAAATGGTAAATTTTAAGTCATGTACATTTTCCTACAATAAAAAAATCAACAAATAGTTTAAAATATCTTATTTATTTATTTATACCTTAAAATATCTCATTTATTTACACATTTGTTGAATGCCTCTTCATGCTAGGGACTAAACCAGGCAGTAAGGATACAAATACTACTAAGACATGGTCTGCCTTCAAGGGGTCCACAATTGAGGAGGAGACAGACTCATAAAACTGCAAGGTTCTAAGAAGTATCACTAGGTGTTGGGATGGATGTATGTATGTACAGGATACAGTATGGACTCTGAAGAAGGAAAGGTAAAATTTACTAGAAGATTCACAGAGGTAGCCCTTAGGACAAGTCATAAACTAATCACCCCGGTTTCATTTTCTGAAGTTTACCAAGTCTAATCCTTCTACCAGTACTAAGATTTTAAAAAAATGAGAATAATCTCAAAAGAAAATATTGAGTGAAAGCTGCCAGACACACAAAAAAATAGAAACTATGTGACTTAATATCTATTAAAAAAGAACAAAATTATGATATTAAAATCAGGAGAGTGACTTTTTCCCCTTGGGGATGGAGGGATAAATTTATAAGCTAAATAAATACATTGGAAATTTCCTAAGATGGTGTTTGTTTTTTTTAGAGAGCTACATAATAGGCAGGCACTCAGGATCTTCTAACTATCTAAATTCATGAATATCACTATAGCCTAAAACTTCCCCATATAATGCAGTAAATTATATTTTCATGGAAATAGTACAAGAGACAATGAGTAGAGAACAGAGTTTTGTGAATCAATTGGCTTGTTATTATAGCACAGTCATGCACAAAAATTGCAAATTCCCATATTCATGTCTTCAGGATCACACAGCAGTTAAACTTCACAGTGTACAAGATAGGAATCCTAGAGTGAAAATGACTTAAAAAGAAATAAAAAGTATTTCTTGCTTAAAAAAAAAAAGTTTTGAGAGGGTAGAAACTACTTGATCACTTTCCCCTCACGTTATGCCATCAATTACACGAAAAGAATTTTTGGGTCACTGCTTTGATAAACTCTGGTGTATCCAACGTGGCTCTTTGAGCTATAGCTGCTGCTATGTCTTCCTAAGCTTTGGCCCCCTCCCCTACCTTGGAGAGGTGAATCTCTTCTCTCTTCTCTCTCTCTAATTTACTTTCTAAATAAACTATATTTTTCAATCTATAAAAATTAAATAAAAATGAAAACATATTGTCACAGTAAATAGACTGTGGTTTGTTTTCTTATAGAAACAAAAGTACTTTAAGGCATCTATATACAGCTCACTCCTTTCCTGGGTACACAGGCGTGCATGCGTGCACAAACACACACAACACTACAAAAACTGAGAGGAGAAAAATGCAATTTATGTTGCAAAGACTAAGAATGTTCCACAGTCATTTAAAAACCTAAGAAAAGAAGTCAGCCCCCCTTTGATGTGCCTTGCAAGACACCTACAAACAGGATGAGTGTGGAGCAATAAAGAGAGATGCTCTAGAAGCACATAAGACCTTTCAGATGGAGCAGAAACCCAAGAAGAGAATGCTTAATAGCACCGCCCAAGTCCTAAGGATCGTTGCACAAGCACTCTCATTTCCAGGTCTAAAGGTTTTCTCCTTCATCTGACTACCCAAATGCTGCCCAGCCCACCATCTTCCGAGAAAACTTCTCTAGTTCTTTAAGCTCTTAATGATCTCTCCCTTTCCTCCTGCCAGATGTGGAAATGGTGTTTTATAGTCAGTCACTTTTTCATTTGTTTTTGTTTCTCCTCCATACCTCCATTCAAACCATAAGCTCTATGTAGCTTTTATGACTTCTGTGTCTTTTGAAAGCCTTATAGAACCTACCTAAAAGTTGTGTTATAGGCAAATATTTACATGATTTAAATAATTTCAAGACTTATTAATTCTATTACATCATAAACTACCTTATGTTCTTAAATCTGTGAAGCAAAATTATCCCAACTTAACTTGCTATCATGAGTAGCGTCTGAGGATAATTCCAAATAAAGGATACAGATCCAAGAGGACTAGGAAGTGGCATGTACCATCACTGTCCACCAGCCCGGCAACTGGGGCCGCTGCTTCCCATCTCTATGCTCCCTGCCTGTCATCTTAGTGGTTCACAGAGCTTCTGGCCCTCATTCTCATGTGTGGGCTAACAAGGCTGGCTGTGAACTGAACAGGAGATCTGAAAGATCTTTTGAAATGATCTTGCTGAAGTTGACTTCCAATTGTTGGACACTCTGAGAAAGAACATTTCTCAAGTATATGTCTTCATTAGCAACAATCTGCTGAGCGAACCACATTCCAGTAATAAAACATTTTATCTTGTCAACAACACATGACATTCCATCTGCAGCGGAGGCCCAATCATGCAGGAAAGAGTATAAGCTTTGGGGGCAGTCAGACTTGGATCTGAATCTGAGCTCAACCACTTCCTAACTGTGGGATTTTGGCTATAACTTACCTAACCTCTCTAGGATTGCTTCCCCAATGATGGGGATCCCATCACCGTCTCCATAGGTTATTGTGAGAACGCAGGCAACAATCCCCTCCTACTAGGCACAACGTAGGCAGTCCAAACACACGGGCTGTTGTTTCTTTCTCCCAAAACTAATTCTTGGAGGATAAAATAATGCTGCTCTCATAAGGATACAGAATATTTCTGAATTCAGAAAGGTTTGTTTTTTTAAGGTTTTATCCTTAATATCAATGTAGAATATCTGACTTTTTTTTAAAAAAGCATGCTTCAAATGTCCTATTTTTAGTCAAATTACTTAGCCTCATGCAATTTTTCGTTACAGTCACAGAAAATTGATATAATGCATACTGACTTTTTGACATTATTAATATATCACATATTAATAATTTCCATGATAACTAAATATATACCATATAGAAAACTATCACAGTTCAGACTTTGTAAGGAAAAAACTCATGTGCAAAAGGACTAGAGGCCCTATGCATGTGTATGATAAATCTTTTGGCCATGTTCACATGTGTTCACAGGGTCACTGACTTTCTTAACTAATTACCTTATAGCTGCTGTATACCTAAAGAGAGTAAAAAATAACGAGCATTCTGAAAATATGAGAGTTGAGTTTCATTTTACCCTTAAAACTGCTCTCCTCATTTAGTTTGCAAGATCTTGAACTTGACCTGATATCTACTACACGTAAAGATGTTTCCATCTCTGAAGTGTCACCAAGGAAGTTAGAGGATGTGTGCGTGGGGATGTGCATGACGGCCTGTGTTCAAAGAAGCTATTAGACTAATTGCAAAGATAGATTTTTATAAGACATATTACAGTGAAGATCAATACATAATAAATCTAATTATTAATCTGTTTATGTTAGTACAGACATTTCCTTTTCACTTACTTCCACTGCTGCTACAACCTGGGGTATTTTCTGCAGGAGAATACCCCATGAAGCCTCCATTCCCATTAGGATTAGAAGGTACTGATGCAAGAAGACCTAAAGGGGGGGAAAAATCTACTATTAAATTATGATCCAGATTGAATTCAATAATAGGCACATAAATAGCTGTCAAAGAAACACACTAAAGGCAGTTCCTGACTTACCTAGTCCTCTGTATCGTGAAAGCTGCTGATAGATCTGTTTCATCCTTTCAATGTTCAAACGGCTTGCCTCAGCATGGTTCACCATTGGCTTAGGATAATTAACTCCTATCAAACATTTGGCTACCTTTTGGATACCTTCTGGTGCATTCCAGGGATCATAGATATACTTTGCAGGGAAGCCTCTTAGGACAGGCAAATAACGCCTTTTGAGAGAAGGAATAAGAATTATTAATGCAATGTACTTTAAACAAACTACAATAAACCACTAACTATAAGGGACCAAAATCAATCTAATACCATTTAAATGATCTATTTCCCCTTCTCCTCATTTTTGCTGCCCATTGTGAGGAGTACTTTGTCTCTTAAATATGCAAAGCTCTTCCTGGATTAACTATTCCAAACTGAATAATCATCACCCTTGATTTACCTGATATAGTCTCCATTGGGATCTGTTCGCCTACCAAAACCAACAGGGCAATAGCAGTGAAAAAACTGTTGGAAAAAGGAACTACAAGACAGCCACATCCAACTTCCAGCATTTATGCTCCAATCTGCATCAAGCAATAATTCTTCAAATACCTTCAGAAGCAACAGTAACCAATTAGTTTGCACTCACAGAACTGTCAAAGCAAGCATTTCTGAGGTCACTGGAGATCATAAATCAAGGCACAGAAAATCTAGCACAGAACTGTAAAATTAAACATTCCAAAGTTAGCTTCCTTGTATATGTTCTGTTCTATAATGAGCTATTTCAGGGAAAGAAACATGTATCTGAACAGAATTTACTTTTCCAAGCTTTGCAGTGTTATTAGGGGGAGGGAAGGTTAACAAATTACTCAAGCTACTGATTTAAAAGAATAAGATAGGATATGAGTAGAAAGAAAAAAAGTAGTAAAGCACTTCCAAGAAAGCAAAAATGCTACCAAATAAATCATTAACAAAAACTTAGAAGCTTGATATACTGGCCTAGATAAAGGAAGTAAAACCACGGGTTTGGTGGTTTAGTCTATAATCCCAGCACTTTGAGAGGCCAAAGTGAGTGGATTGCCTGAGCCCATGGGTTTGAGACCAGCCCAGGCAACTTGGCGAGACCTCGTCTCTACAATAAATCAAAATTTAGCCGGGCATGGTAGCACATGCCTGTAGTTCCAGCTACTTGGAAGACTGAGGCAGACAGACTGCCAGAGCCCAGCAGGTCAACACTGGGATGGCCGCAAGTGTGCTGCTGCACTCCAGCCTGGGCGACAGAGTGAGACTCCAACTCAAAAAATAAAGAAATAAATTGACAATAAAAAGTAAAGGAAGCATATCCAATATAAACACACTTTAAAAAATACACTAGCATTACAGCTTAAATTTTGAATTCTTTGATTCAAAAGGAAATAGAATTCAAGTAAATGACTTTTATACATTCATTAAGTGTATGCTATACACCTTTGTGTACAACTTTGGACTAGGAGATACAGAAGATACAAAAAACCATAGGCTCAGAGATGATCCTTGTCTGGGAAAGTTTATGGTATAACCAGAAAGGCAAAACATATATGCCAATCTTCTTATGTATAACCACAGATGACATCACAAAAAATAGTATGCTTCTCTTTAATAAGAGAGTTATTACTAAAAAGCTGTGATGCTGAAGTAAGGTAAAATAATTTACATTTTAAAATTTGTAATATGAATTCACTATTACTGGGGACTCGGGTGAATCCACCGTGTAACAGAAATGATAACCTGTAGATATATCTATCTAATAAATCCAGAATATTAAATCTTAAAGTTCTCTTTTTATTTTATTAATTAAGTTTTAGAGACAAGGTCTCACTCGGTTGCCCAGACTGGAGTGCAGTGGCACAATCATAGCTCCTAGGCTTATGTGATCCTCCTACCTCAGCCTCCTGAATAGCTGGAGCTATAGGCATACACCATCATGCCCCACTAATTATTTTAAAACTTTTTTGCTATGTTGCCCAGGCTGGTCTGAAACTCCTGGTCTCAAGCAATCCTCTCACTTCAGCTTCCCAAAACACTGGATATCTTACAGTTCTTGTAATGGCTTGGCTGGTTTAACCACTGAAATGCCTTTAGGCTAATTGAGTTAACCAGTTTTCACCACTTCTCCTGTCTGATTATACCATCCTGCTCTCCAGAACGGTATCTTTATTTTGGGAATTAAGTGTTTTATCCACTGAAAAAACTAGACTATAAATACATCTATATACTAGGCAAATTCTGGGATTTGTTTTAATAAAGTATAGATTCCTTCAAAATAAGGCCATGCTATATTCGTAAGAACACTTACTTTCATTCCTTCTTCCCAACTAATCCACAGGTCACCTCGTGTCAGGAAGCAAGCAACAGCATGTCTGGCTAAATGGTGAATCCAGCCCTCCTGACGAAGCTGTGTCATGATGGCATCAATCCATGGAAAGCCTGTCCGGCCTTCTGCCCATTTGGCTAAAGCCTCAGGATTCTTATCCCAAGGAATCTGAACACAGATGGGATTTCCTTCCATCTTATCAAAGCGTGGATTATTTGTTGCTGCTGTATAGAAAAATTCACGCCATAATAGTTGCCCATAAAGAGAAAGGGGAGGGGAACTGTTCTTCTTTACCTATGATTAAAAAGCAAGGAAGTATTATCAGCAATTTTTTTAAAAAGTGTTGAAAAATATGCTCCCCATAAAAAAGAACAAAATCATGAATTTTGCAGCAACCTGGATGGAACTAGAGTCTATAATACTGAGTGACCTCTCACAAAAACAAAGGTCCGAGTAGCACATGTTTTCACTCATATAATGGACCTTGAACATCCAATCTAATACTATAAGAAAATGACTGACAGTAGTGGGAAACTATGGGGGGAGGGGAGATGGGATTAACGAGCAAATATCTGTCTGGGGACGGGGAAGCACCTCTAATCAATAGGGTGCCTGAATGAAACGTATTTGTATACCTAACCCTTAACTGTACCCCACAACATCATAATAAAAAAATATTGATTATTAAAAAAAAAAAAGAAAAATATGCTCCCATTTTAGATAATACCTTTTTGTAAAGATCCGTTAGTTTGAAATAAAACAGTCGACATGACAAACAACCAAATCGGAGGTAAGGACTGAGTCCAGTAGGGCTTGCAAGCAGAGAATTTGCATTCATTCGGGGTCTTTCAAAGTTTGCCACCCAAGCCTGAAAACACACATAGAAAATTGCATTAACGAAGTAGCTTTTTCATTTACGAGTGCTCAAATCTGAGATTTTTTAAAAGCTACACAGTTCTCAGAGAAAAAAATTTTCTTATCCCAACCACAAATTACATGTTTTAATACAAAATAAAAGATTCTAAAACTGAGCATTCGTTTGCTTCAGCCATCCTCAAGCAGCACATATTCAAGTGAAATAAATTTTCAACAAAAGGCTGACAGCACCCTCAACCTGTCTCTTTAAAACTGAGGTAAAGGTGAATGAAGAATTCAATTCTAGCTGCAGTTACAGTCATCAGACACCAGTTAGGTAGAACGGACAGAAGAGGTAGTACAGGAGTAGCTAAAGGGGAAATAATCAGAAGAGGACAGGCAAGGGCATTTAAATGAGAAAACAGTTGTTAATTTTTAAACAATTAGGTTTGTGCTATTTTTACTATTTCCCTCAGTTCTCCTTGTAAACAATCTTTTTTTTTGTCTTTGAAAGAGAGTGATGGTGGGTGCAGTGGCTCATGCCTGTAATCTCAGAACTTAGGTGGTCGAGGTAGAAAGATTGCTTGAGCCTAGGAGTTTAAGACCAGGCTAGGAAACATGGTGAGACTTCGTCTCTACAAAAAAGAAAAATATTAGCCAGGAGTGGTGATGTACAGTTGTAGTCTCATCTACATGGGAGGCTGAGGTGGAAGGATTGCCTGAGCCCAGGAGATTCAAGTTATAGTAAGTGGTGATCGTGTCTCTGCCTTCCAGCCTGGGTGACAGAGTGAGACCCTGACTCAAAAAAAAAAAAAAAAAAAGAGAGAGAGAGTGAAATTATTTTTAACATGCTAGTTTGGAAATATGAGCACAGTTATAAAATCTACATTATCATACTTTTCTTTCCAAATGCCTTTCCAAACGTGTAAGTGCTTCAGTTTCTCCGCCTGGCCACACTGCAGAGGATAAGCCATCTGTATCAAAACCTAAAAAACAAAATAGAAAAGAAAAAAAAATCATTCTTCTGAAACTAAAATAATTTTTACTTCACTCCAATAATTGGAAGAATAAATTACTTCACAGAAAAATTGTAAGTGTAGCATAAAAATGAACTGAGGGCCTGTTGAGGCCCTCACATATAGAGGATACGGCATGGTTTCTATTCTTCAGGATGTACATCTTAAGGTATAACAACAGATCACATATTTATAGAACATATAAACAGTGTACAGATGTATCACTTCTTAGTTTAAGAGTTTCTTTTCTTTCTCCTCTCTTTACCCCTTTCTTTCCCCCTCCTAAGGCAAAATACTTTACATGGCAAAATTATAAATTTTCAAGAAATTTATGATTTATTAACTCTTAAGCTCCACGTTGATTACAGTTTATACCCACCGAGCTCTTCCAGTGAAGGAACTCCATATTTCTCATCATGGTCATCAGAAAGAGGAGTTGTGCATTTTTCTATCACTTCTGAAGTAATTGTCTCTACTGGTATCTCTAGGGGTTCCATTTTGCTGATGAGAGTTTGGAATCTTTTATAAGTTAGAGGCGGTTGTCCACCATTGAGTTCTATGATCCTATTATAAAAGTTAGATAAATGCAGTCAGTATTTCTTTAAAAATGACAATATAGTTGGGTTGATAAACTCTGAAAAGGCTTAAAATTAGAAAATAAAATTAAATCTAGGAGAATGCTAGTTCCTTACAGTGAACAGAAGTGTGTTCAAAATGACTGAATCTAAAAATAATTAACTTCATCTTCTAGATATTTACTAAGCGTCAAAAATATGTAGTATACAAATATCAAGGCCTTTAAGGCAACCAATAGTAAGGACTTATGAATAAATCATTCATAAGTGGGTCACTCAGCCTAAGAGGGTAAAGTAGCCTAAAGTTAATATACATGGATATGTAGAAAACATGTTACAATTCAGTTCAAAGAATCTCTCAATCACCAACAAAAGCCAAATCAGGCTGATAATTATACTAAGGAATAGTAAGCAAGTTTCATTAAAAAAATTAATTTTATTATGTATATTTGAGGCTTACATGTTATGAGATAGATTATAAATAGTAAAATAGGATATATAAAAATATAGTGAAGCAGATTAACATATCTATAGTCTCAACCATTACTGTTTTGAGTGTGGGTTACAAAAGCAACTAAAATCTATTTATTTAACAAAAACCCTAAATACAACATAGTTTTATTAGCTGTAGTCTTTATGTTGTACACTAGATTTCTAGATTTGTTTATTTTACATATTTTCTACTTTGTATTCCTTGACCTACATCTCCTTATTTCCTTCAGCAAGTTTTATTAATTAGGATTCTATATTATTATAGTGACAAGTACTTGCTATTTTTTACTGTGCTTATATCTTCATTAGTGATGTCAGCATCTCTAATCTATGTTATATAATTAGGACATAAAACCCCCCAAATTTCAAGTTCTTTAAATGTAAGTACTTTTACCTTTTATATTTACTTCTGATCACTAATTGTCTCAATCAAGTTATACTTAAAAAAAAAAAAAAAAGAATAACTAGCTTTGTCAATGGCAATTTAGATTAAGTTTAGATTATACACTATTGTGGAATAACTAATTATTCTTTTTAACTATGGCCATTTTCTTAGCTTTGGACCTTGATAAAGAGTTAGAAGTAAAATCCAACTCCATCATTTTACAGATGAGAAAAGCCTACTAAGAAGGTTTACCAAACTAGTCAAGATCATATAACTGATAAATGACAAATAAAGATGTCTTAGTCTAAATATAGTGTATTTTTCATCATATCACATGTAATGATGCATCATTTACATGTAAAAGTAATCACCATAAAAGAAATCCTTTTTGCTTTAAGTAAATTTTGTTTTGGTATAGTATTTTGAGTTTATACATAGAGTTATAATGAATTATGCTGATTGTAATAATACTGCAATGATACTACTGAGGACAATGTCAATTATGTAACAGTAGAAAAATGAAAACAAAAAAATGTCTATGTTATATTTTAATATAATAGATTACATATGGTAAATATTCACATTTAACCCAGTAAACACTAATTTTTTGCATAACACTGAATCTCCTACTTAAAAACAACTGCTTTTATCCTATTCTGTTTCCTTCTTGCTCCCTGAAGTTAAGCAAATTGGTAAATAGGAAGGCAAGTTTGCTATCAAAGGATATATAATTTCTAGCTTAATGTCAAGTAAGACCTTAGCCTGAAACAAATCATAATTTATTATATACTTGGAAATGTGGTATCAAATTAACTAGCCTCCCATGTTACTTATAGAATTCGCTTTATTAACTTGAAAAAATGTATAAATTACTAAAAAAGCAAAATAATTTAAAAGGTACATAAATAATGAGATTTCAGTAGTTATAGTGACAACTACATGTCCAAAGTTTTGAGTTAATAAGTATTATGAACCTCCAAAACTCACAGCATTATAGTACTTCCTAATCTTAAATTTGACCACAGAATCTGTGTCAGACAAAGCATTACCAAGGATTTGTTTTGAGGAATCCACTTTGAAAAATACAATTGTGTAAGCTGGGGTTTAGGCTTCTAGTGACGTCATCACCCAATTGGTGAACACATACCTTATAGGTAGTTTTTCTACCTCTGCTCACACAATATGTATTATGCCATTATTCAGAGGGCTACAGTTATGCAAAGTTATATTACATTCAATTTGCATCTGGACTTAAAATCCAGATAGAGAGACAGGATATTTACACATGAAATAAAGTAACAAGACAATCATGCAAAATATGTCAAGGTAACTTATGGCTATGTATCATATAACCTATAAAATTAATCATGCTAAGAGCCCAGAAAGGCAAGATCACAGTAGACTCAGTAAAGAAAAATTCTGAAATAATCTTAATCAATAATAGTTTTGAAACGGAAATGCTGAGTAATTTTATCTTCTGTACTATGTCTATAATTTTGGTACCTGTCATTGGGTGAATAAAAATCATAGCGGCTAAATACAATGCTAGGGTTTAACATGTGCTCATTTTATTCTCTCACAACTCTAGGATATTTTATTATTTCCATTTTATGAACTTAAGTCCCCAAACATTTAAGATGGAAAATATTATGAAACATGTATTTTCTCACAATAAAAAAATGAAAAAGGGGGGGGTGCTTACTTGTCCAGGTCATATAATGTATGTGAGATCCGTACAATGACTTCTACTCCAGCCTCAGTAGCCAGTTTCTTAATAGCTGCATCTCGTTCCTTTCCAAAGGGCTCAGAATCATACTCAATTGAAAGTTTAGCAATGTTCCATTCCTAAAATAAGGGGAAATAATGCACACCAATTTTAATAATTACTTCTTCTATCATAACAAGTAAAAAGCTGAAAATGAACAAATCAAAGGACTATACAAAATCAGACTTTCAATATGCAGAACAATTTATCAGTTCCAAAATATGCAAATAATAGATGTATAAACACTAGATTCCAGGCACTGTGCTAGGACACAATCTAGCAATATGCTTAAAACCAGCTCTTATGCAAAATGTGTTTGTATAGCACTCTTTACTTTGCATGACTTTTTACTACTGCATTTGATTTTACATTCAGGGGGTACATGTGCAGGTTTGTTACATGGGCATGTTGTGTGTGCTGAGGTCTGGGCTTCTAGTGAGGTCATCACCCAAAGAATAAACACAGTAGAGGCAGTTTTTCCATCCTCACCCCGTACTCGTCTCCCCCCTTTTGGAAATTCCAGTGACTATTATTTCATTTTTATGTCCATGTGAACCCAATGTGTAACTCCCACTTATAAGTGAGAACATGTGATATTTCATTTTCTAAGTTATTTCCGACAGGATAATGGCCTCCAGCTCCATCCATGTTGCTACAGAAGACATAATTTCATTCTTTTTTTATGGCTGCACAGTATTCCACAGACATACATATATACCATTTGGGTAGTATAATCATTTTAAAAATACTGATTCTTCCCATCCATGAGCATGGAATATTTTTCCATTTGTTTGTTTCACCTATAATTTATTTCATCAGTGTTTTGTAGTCTTTTCATAGAGATTGTAAATCTCTCTGGTTAAATGTATTCCTAGGTACTTTACTTATGTGTGTGGCAATTGTAAATTGAATTGAGTTCTTGATTTGGTTCTCAGCTTGAGAGCTATTGGTGTACAAAAATGCTACTGATTTTTGTACAATGATTTTGTTTTTGTTTTATTTTTTTTTATTATAAAGATGTGGGGTACAATTCAGGGTTAGGTATACAAACATGGATTATGCAGGCCCCCTTTTTGATGAGGTATGCCCCTCCCTCCCCTAGCAGTTTCCCTCAACTGCCAGTCCCACCCCTGCCCCGACAGTTTCCCATTACTGTCAAACGCTTTCGTATAGTATTATAATTGTTCAAGGTCCGCTTATGAGTGAGAACATATGGTACTCTGTTCTTTGCTTCTGTGATAGATCACTGAGTATGATCAACTCCAAATCCAACCAAGTTGCTGTGAAGTTCATATATTTGTCCTTCTTTATGGCTACATAATATTCCATTGTATATATGGTACACTGATATGTATCCTGAAACTTTATTGAAGTCATTTATCAGATACAGGAGTCTTCTGGAGGAATCTTTAAGATTTTCAAGGTATGAAATCAGGTCATCAGCAGAGATAATTTGACGACTTCTTTTCTTTTTTGGATACCTGCTATATCTTCCTCTTGAAATGCTCTGTTAAGGAATGTATCCTGAATAGGAGTGGGGAAAGTGGACATCTTTCTTGTCTTGTTCTAGTTTTTAGGGGGAATGCTTTAAACTTTTGCCCATTCAGTATGATATTGGCTGTGGGTTTATCATAAATAGCTCTATTTTGAGGTATGTGCCTAATTTATTGAACATTTTTATCATGAAGGGATGATGGATTTTACCAGATGCTATTTCTGTATCTATTGAGAAGATCATATGATCTTCTTGTTTTCAATTCTGCTTATGTAGTGAGTCAATTTATTGATTTGTGTGTGTTAAACCATCCTTGGATCTCTGGAACAAAACCCACTTGACCAGGTTGAATTATCTTTTGGATGTGCTGCTGGAATTGGTTTGCTAGTATTTTGTTGAAGATTTTTGTGTCTATATTGATCAGGGATACTGGCAGCATTGTACTTTTTCACATTACTTATGCTCAAATTATCTCACTTGACCCTCAAAACAACCCTCAGAGTTTGGCACTTTAGTTGGCATCTCCATTTCTGTAGATAAGGTTATTTTTTAAATTTAGCAATTTGCCTGAATTTACAAAGAGCCAAAACACCTGAAATTATATCTGCTGATTCTAAGAAATGGTCTTTAACAAACCTCTGATAGTTGATATGGCATAAGGTGCTTTGTTGAGGTACTCTGTGCATGCGTGTGTAAACATTTCTGATTACTATAAAATGTTAACTGTGAAAAATTGGGAGATACTACTAATAATAGGGGCTACTTAATGATATCAGGTGCAATATTAATAAGTTCTGTACTTCTCCTAATACTGATTTCAAATGAGAAGACTGTGACTTAAAGGAATTATGTGATTTTGCTCAATGAAACAGTAAAGATTTTTTTAATTTCTAAATATCTACTCTGCTTTATCTTACAAGGAAAAAAAAATCACCTGTAATATTTAACTGCCTATACAGTAACATACTATAATTGTTAAAACACCTACAGACTCCATAAGGGGTGTTTTCAATGTTGAGTTTTTAAAAAACTGCTATTATAAACTTTGCAGTAAATATCTTTATCGTTATTCATATATTGCAAATATTTGGGGGCATTTATCCTATTTTTCCTAGAAATAATTCTTTGAAAACGATGGATCAAAGATAAGAACTTTGAAGTTCTAATAGACTGTACCACATTTTCTACCAGATTCAAGGGGGGACCCCCTGCAAAACCCAGAATTTATTTATGAAAAATTATGTATTTATTCTTACATGTTTAAACTTCAGTAACCTTCAAAGTACTCTTCATTTGATGCAATACACCTATTGAGATGCTTTTTCTACTTCTCAAAACAGTTTTTGAACTGTCAATTTTGATGCCTTTTAGTGCTCCTGCTGTTTTTTGTTTCATCTCTTCTACATTGGCCAGACATTTCCTTTTGAAGACTTTTCATCATCCAGGGAAACAAACAAAAAAAAGTAGCTCGAGGAGAGATTGGGTGAATAGGGAGGGCGTGGCACTGGGGTCATGCCATTTTTGGGCAAAGACTGTTGGACATTCAGTGCAGTGTGGGCAGTTGCATTGTCTTGATGAAAGAACCAGTCACCTGCCTGCCAAAACTCGGGACATTTCTTCTGCAAATCATGACACAACCTAAAAACTTCCAGATACAAACTTTAGTGGATTGTCTGATTCAGAGGAACAAATTCCAAGTGTATTTCAAGGGGCCCACCCTCCAAAAGATAATTCTGAGGATATTTTTGGTCCCTTCCATATACTGTACTATTTACATTCTCATTAGTAGTACATCAAGGTGCTTGCTCTCCGCATATTTGCCAATAATATTTACTAGTAATATTTTTAAAATGTCTGCTACACTAGTAAGAGAAAAGTAACATCTCACTTTAAAAATTTTCCTTTCTTGAAAATCTTGAAGAATGCACACCAAAATGTTAAGAACTGTTAACTCTGAGGAACAGAGTTTGGGAGTGTAAACAGGATAACTATTTTTAATTTTACATACTGCCCCATTACTCAGATTTGGCAGTACAAGCATGTACTATTTTCGAAATGTAAAAATAAAATTAAAATGAGACTAGGAAAGCATTACATTTCTTTGTTTAATAGTGAGGCAGTATAGAGTAGCAATTAAGAAACACAGGATCTAAAGTCAGACTTCCTGAGTTCAAAGATTGGCTCAACTATTTATGCAAACTGCTCTACTCTCCATGTCTGTTTCCTAGTCTATAAAATGGGTAGAATGTAAATGAAATGCTTAGAGACTGTCTGGCACATAATAAACACTATGTATTTGCTATAGTAAAGAGAAAAGAATAACAATATTATATTCTTGGATTGCTAAAGAATTAAGTGAGATAATGCATGTAAAGTGTTTACATAATATGCCCTTAATGTATGATAGCAATTATTATTACTAGCCATTTGTGTATTTATTATATTGTGAATTATGGCTAATGCTTACTTGGTTTTCCACTGTAGTTAATTATATTCCTATGAATTTGTAAGAGCTTCTAATATTTTAAAGATAGTAATACTTTGTCATGTCATAAATAACTTTTTTCTAACTAGTAGTTTGCAATTTAATACTGATTTTTTTGAGAAATAATATTTTAGATTTTAGACAGTAAATTTTTTAGATGAGTCAATAAATAATGCTTCCAGCTCTTTTTCCTTCTTGAGTTCAGTTACACAGGTCAGAGAGCTAAAGATCAAAACATAAACATTACTAGCAAGGCTGAATTGGAGAAAACATATTAGGCTTAAGGGCAAGTAAGCTATTTCACTGCTAAATCAAACAGATGTACCTCCTAAATCATAAGTGGTATCTCCTCTGTGTGTGGGCTACTCCTATAAAACTTATTACATAGAAGAGGATATGATGTGTGCTCTCTGCAACTTAAGAAGAGAAAAGGAGCCGGGCTCCTTTGGGAGGCTGAGGTGAGTGGATTGCCTGAGCCCGTGGGTTGGAGACCTGCCTGGGCAGCGAGACCTCATGTCTACAATAAATCAAAAAATCAGCCAGGCGTGGTAGTGCACGCCTGTAATTCCGGCTACTCGGAAGGCTGAGGCGAAGGATCGCCGGAGCCCAGCAGGTCGAGGCTGCGGTGGCTGGGAGCGGCTACTGCACTCCAGTCTGGGTGACAGAGTGAGACTCCAACTCAAAAAAAAAAAAGAGAAGAGAAGAGAAAAGGAATGGTCTGAGCTAAAATTGTCCAACTCCTTCTCCTAAACTCAACGATGAGATCATTTACTTCCCTTGCTCTAGGAATAAATTAGTGAACATCTCTCCACAAGAAAAACAAGGTAGGGAAGAGAAGGTTCCCCAAGCATTAAATGTATTCATTCATATACCAAACATATAATAATTCTTATTATAAGCTAGATACTATACTAAGTTTCTCCTTCCTGGAGCTTATTGAGAAAGACTGGCAATACAGAGGTAAAAACAAACAAACAAAACCCAATAAAACAAAAACCCCACAACAACTATTAGAAATAAAAAGGAATGTTGGGATAGAGAATACAGGGGAGGGGGCAAGAGGTTGTAAGTTAATGATCTACTCTTTTTCACCATGATTG